GGACTAGAAACTAAAAAAAAAAAAATAGAACAGGGAGTCAGCAAACCAACACTAATTAACTTAGATTTACGAGTTAACCCAGCAAAACTCAGATCAGTAATCCGACACTTGTTACACTTAGATTTGTGAGTTAGCTTGTTAGCCCAACCCGGCTTTTCCTTCACACTGTAACTCCATAATATATGTTTTACTTACATATCCATTTATTGTTCTTCACCCTCCATGAGAAGGTAAATTTCTGAATGCAGAGGTTTTTGTTTTGTTCTGTTTTATCTCCAGTGCCTAGAACAGTACTTGGCACATAGTAGGTACTCAAGAATAAATGATCATTGAATAAAAGAAGTTAGTTAACTCTAAAAGTGTTAGGAAACAGAAGGGTTTTGAAAAGAGGAGTGCTATGAAGAGGGGCGTGGGGAGCAGGGGCAAGGATGGAAGCTCTCAGACCAACTAGGAGGCCTTTGCAGAAATCTAGCCAGAAGCTAATGGCAGTTTGGATTAAGGTGATACCATGGACATGGCAGGAATGGTTGGGTACTGAAGGCAGGTTTTGCTGATAAACTGTGGCAAGTAAAAGAAAGAGAGGAGTCAAGGATGACGTCAAGGTCTTGGCCCTTGAGGAACTGGGTGGAGAAGACATCTGGCTCAAAGTCGGAATTCTCTGCCACACCAAGACCTCTTAAGGCTGTTGTCAGAGCTAACTGAGAGAATGGGCGTAGGATTAGACCAAGTTTATTGTCCTTCCTATGGGTGTGGTGCTGCGCTATTGTTTCCTTGATTCCTGACATTTCTTTCAGGTAGATTCTATCACCAGCCATAAACTGAAGCACAGAGAAGCTGTCTGAAGTCACACAGCTGGCAAATACTGAGGCTGGGAGGCAGGTACAGTCTTTGTTTTTAACCAGTATACCCCTTGTTGCTCTTCACTGCCTTAATTAACTTCTCTGCCTCAGAAACAGAACTAACAGCCTACTTTCCTCCCTTAGCATGGAGCCTAGAAGGGAAGAACTGGCCCATAAAAGACTGAGAACTGGGTTCTCTCTGAGCTGCATTTATTAACTGAGAGCTGAGTAAAGTTGTCACTCTTCTTCCAGCCCCAGAAAACCACACCTGGCAGGACTTGGGCCTCCATGGACTGGAGGTCAGCTTCCTTGCATCAGGCCACAGCCAGTCAGGATGAAAGTAGGACCTTGAGTTCATTGAGGGCCGCCCCATTCTATTTGCCATTCCACCACTGCCCTTGCCACAGATCCTGCTAGCAGGGCCAGATCTGGGCTTTATGGCTGTCATGGACCTGCTGCCAACCAGGAGGCAGTAGAACACCTGCTCTCGGGACTGTGGGCCAATTCCAGGCCCTTCTCACCTATTCCTGGGAACAAATCTAAAATCCCCGGTCATTGCCCTCTAGGAAGGCAAATAAAGCCATTCAGCATGCAGTTCCTGGGTTCCTGTGCTATGCCAGGCTGAGAAGGGGCTGGCACAGGGCATGCAGGCTCTGGTGCCAGGCAGTCCTGGCTCCCTACACCAACCAGGCCCTGTGGGCTCTGTGACCTAGGGGCACCACAGCACTCTCAGAGCCTCAGGACCCCATCAGAATTTTTAACAGAGCCCCTCTTTGGGGGGCTGTTAAAACATTAGAAAGCCTTGGTTCTCTGTTTTCTCTGCCCTCCTACCCCCAATCTTCCTCTTTCTTGCCACTCAGGCAGTTCTCAACTTAAATGTCACCTCCTCAGGGAGGCCCTCCCTGACCACTCAGGGGTCGGCAAACTTTTTCTGTTAAAAAGCCAGACAGTAAATATTTTAGGCTTGTGGGCACTCTGATCAGTGGCAACAACTCAACTCTGCCGTTGCTGTGGGAAAGCAGCCACAGACGATTTAAATAGGCATGGCTGTGTTCCAGTAAGACTGTGGGTATTGAAATTTGAGTTTCTTATGTTCACATGTCGTGAAATACTCTTTTTATTTATTTATCAGCCACTTAAAAATGTGGAAACCATTCTTAGTTCGCGGACCACAGAAAAACAGGTGTCAGGCTGAATTTGGAGTCTTCCAGGTCTAGTCTTTTTTTTTTTTTTAAGTGGAAGTTCTGGGAATTGAACCCAGGATCCAGTGCTTGCTAAGTATACGCATGCTCTACCATTGAGCTATTACTCTCCCCACTCCTGGTCTAGTCTTAAATATAAGCATTTCTGAGACATTTATAGCTATCATATTTTTTCCATTCTTCCCTGTCACCCTCCTTTCCTTCCTTCCTGAGCTTATCATCTATTTCTCCTTCTAGGACATTAGTTCCATGAAAGCAGAGAACTTTCTCTCTCCTGTCTTCTGTCCTTTATCTCTTCTAACATTTCTTAAACACCTACTCTGTTCCAGGCATTGTTTCAAGTGCATTACGCTCAGTAATTTATTTAATCCTTATAAAAACCCTATTAAATACTCTAATTAGCTCAATGTCACACATCTGGAAACTTGAGGTCTTGTTCATCATTCTGTTGCCTGAGTTTAGAAAATGCTGAAGCTGCCAACAAAACAGAGGTACCAGTGAAAACTTTTATACAAATTTGGTATTTCACATTTTTAAAAAAAGGGAATCAAAGTAGTTACCACCAAGTGGTTATCAGTCAAGTTTCAATCAGAGAAGCAAAACCAATAGGAGATATTTATTAAGGGATTAATTGCAAAGAACTTTTCTGAAACAAGGCGAATAGATATATTATCTTACAATTCTATGGAATGTCATGGGGCTAAACTCAAGGTATCAGCAGGGCTGCATTCCTTCTGGAGGCTCTGCAGGAGAATGTATTTCCTTCCTTTCCAGCTGCTAGAGGCTGCCTATGTTCCTGCCTTGTGGTAGCACCCTGTATCTTCAAATGGCATCTCTCCAATCTGTGCTTTGGTCATTAAATCATCTGACCCTGACCTCCTGCCTTCTTCTTTCCTTTGTAAGAAGCCTTGTGATTACATTGAGCCCACCCAGATAATCCAGAAGGATCTTCCCATCTCCAGGTCAACTGATTGGCAACCTTAATACCCACTTGTCATATGACATAATATATTCACAGGGTCCAGGGATAAGCACGTGACCATCTTTGGGAGGCATTGTTCTGCGTACCACACCATGAGAAAAGTAAGTTCTGTGTTGGCTTTCCCTGTATTTTTTGTTCTAAGTAGTATTGTTTCATATTAATGTAGATGTAGGGGAGAGTTGGGTGTAATTTTTTAAAGCCTGTTGACATTAATGTTTTAATCTTGCCGTGGCCGCTTAGGTAATAAGCTCTAGAATTACTAGGCAGAAGTGAAAAAGTTGACTGTAGAATTCGGTGGAGTCTGGTGCAGCAGATATACCTGAGAGTTTGTGGAAAAAATACAGAATCCAGTCCTATCACAGACCTACTGGATCTTGGACATGGGGCCTGGGAGTCTGAATTTCTTCTTAGCTCTCCTTCACCCTTACCAGACTCTGCTGGTGCCTGCTCTTAACGTCTTGGAGGCTCCTACTGCTGCCTTAGGGCTTCCTCCCAGCCCAACATAAGCCAGCTGTGCTAGCCAGTTAATGCTCTCAGAACAGCTCTCAA